ACACACACACACACACTGCACAACACACACACACACACACACACACACACACACTGCACAACACACACACACACACACACACACCGGAGGAGAGAAACTAAGACTCTGCTTTAAAGTTTGTGGAGCTTGGAAAGCCTGAGGGAGGTGGTGACTTCTCCCTGAGTCTCGACTGCATGCTGAACACACGTGTAGAGCATGTAATGTGTGCAGAGCTCAGATGAGTAACTGGAGCATTAAACACCACGAGAACATGGACATGCTTCATGCTTGTGTGGATGTTTATGAAACATTCACACTGTGATCCATTGTTCTTCCGTATGTTTGTCGGTATGATCCTCATCCCTCAGTTTTCAGTCGGTTTCAACAAATCATGAATCAAAACGTTCAGCACTTTCAGGACAATCCTGCTATGACTTTTGGTGTTGATGCAATTTTAGCTTCTTGAAATATTTAGCCCTTTCTGACATTTTTGTCCTCATAGAAAATAAGATTGAGCTCATTTTAAATCCTTCAAATCTTTAGATGTGCTTACATCCTTTTATTGCTCCTTTCACATTTTGTTCTGCTTGAGCTTCTTTCAGCTTCCTTCTGCAAATTTAAACTTTTTTCAGCTACTTTCAGCTAAATGCAGCTGTTTTTTCAGCTGTTTTGTGCTAACTGCAGAATTTTTTAGCTAATTTCTACCGTTTTGTGCTAATTTCTGCTTCTTTCAGCCTACCAGTAATTTGGCCAACATGTTCTGCTTTCGTACGTTACCGGTAATTTAAATTTAAGCTTATTCATCGTTTTCAGATAGCTTTTTAGCATTTTTAGCTAATTTCAGCAGTTTTCAGATAAATTCAAGTTTTTCTTAGTAATTTTTGCTACTTTCAGCCTAATTAACTTATTTATGCCAAGTTCTTCAGCTTGTTGTGCTCTTTCCAGCTTTTTCAGCTACTTTCAGCCTTTTCTGTTATTTCAGCTACTATTTAGCAGTTTTTATTTTTTAGCTAATTCCACTTTTTTTTTTTTTTTTTTTTTTTAAGCTCATTTCAGTTCTTTCTACTTTATTCTGGTAGATTAAGCTTCTTTCTGCCTTTTCAGCTACTTTCTGCTATTTTTTTTTTTATTTTAAGCTTTTTTTTAGCTAATTTTCCTAATTTTGTGCTTATTTCTGCTTATTTAAACCTAATTAATCAAATATGTGTTTTTTCTGCTTTTCCTGCTAAGTTAGTCTTGTTCTTTCACTTCAGCTACATTTCAGCATGTTTTTGTAGCTAATTTCAGCTGTTTTTCAGCAAGTTCTTCTGCAATAAGCATTCACACTGCATTGTCACAGGACATGCAGTTTCTGTTATTCTACAGTAACTGTGTTTGATGATGTCAACAGGCCTGCCATATTACATAATAAATCATATTAATGTAGTAGTACTATATGACAGTCGTGTTGATATCTGCATCATGGTTATGGTTTTCTAGATTTCCCTGTAAACCAGTGAGTAAAACAAACAAATGTAGGGCCTTATTAAAGGTTTAATCTTTTCCAGATTTCATGTTTCAAAATGCAGATACATTTTTAACTTAAAATGTACCTTATAATGTAGAGGATTATTTTTTCAACAAGTTCTTGACTTTCAACAGTTTAACAGTACAAGACTCAAAATGTTTTTACTCTCAACAAAAACAAAGTAAAAAAAGTTTCAGTTCAACAAAACGCTCAAAGCTTCATTAAACTCTGCCTGCGAGTCATTTATAAATAAAACATTACTGTGGTACATAAAGAATAGTTGAAAACAATGGTGTTGTATTAAAAAGGTGTTCTTTTTGTCTGACTGACTATGATGATGATGATGATGATGATGATGATGATGATGATGATGATGATGAAGAGTTGCTTAACTGAAAGCTTTGCCTGGTTTTCAAGGTTCAAGTTTCACCCAAACATAGCAAAAATATAAAGTGTAAAAAGAAACGGTACATAAGGATCCAAGATCTACAATAAACAATAACAATGTAATATATCTTATTTTATAATGCAGTGCATTAAACAGCAGCCTGAACATTTTATTATTCTTTATGGCAGAATATACTAATAATTAATTAATAACTTTATTTATCACTTATTTATCAAATAATAATAAACAATATTATATATATATATATATATATATATATATATATATATATATATATATATATATATATATATATATATATATATATATATAGGGAGTG